CCACAGCTCTGAAATTGAAATATACAGGTAAATATTGACACCTAAAATTTTGTAGCATTGTAGCAGCATAATTGTAACTTTCATTGTCTAAACATATCTTTCGGACTTCTATCATTGCAGCATATGGTCCATTCTCTTGTTTTAGGCCTTCAAAATCGCAATGCTCTAAAACTTCATCATTACATTGAGGACTCCAACTGCCAGAAAGATTTCTTGGAGAAAATGTGCTAGAGGAGCAGAATGATGAAGTCGAAGAAACTGAATATCCTTTCTGAGTTGGTGTGGTGTTGGCCAATTTACAGTAAATCGAAGATATGCATCTTATAATTTCCTCTGATAATCTATCAGGACGATTGAAGGCATCATCTATGTGAGAATTTCCGAGATGATATGCAAGGCTACGGTGTGGAGAGTAAGCATTATTCTTCTCCTGAAATTGTATATCACAGACACTTCCTTTGAGTCAATGAATGCCTTCAGAAAAGAAAAACATAAACACGCGTGTAATTGCTGCAAAATATGTGATTTTATAATGTAAAAAACGTTGTTAGTCACTCAAATTATAGCAAAGTTCCATGCTTTTTCTTGTTGCAAAGTAGTCGGTGAGGTTTGCCTTGTGTTTCGGTTTGATCACTCGGTTAGAATTCATTAGTTTTTCTAAATAATGTTCGATGTGGAAGACTTCCATGCTGATGCCATTTCTATTGTTGTCTTCCACATCAGACATTTCATCAGAAAAATTAACGTATTTTAAACGATTGACCAACCTGAAACAAAACACGAACTTCAGATTTTTTCTTTGGAGCAAAATAAACTTAGTTGACTACGATGAAACTTCGCTATCGGTTGAGAGTGAGTAACAGAGCTTTTAACACATTTGATAGGGACAAATTAGACAACATGAACAAGACAGATGTATTTAAAACATATAAAGGGTGATTTTAATTAACCCTTCTAGATGATGACTTTGGAGTAGCCACTGTCACTAGATCGCTCGAGCTTGCTAAAGCACTCGAAGGAGAAATTTGACCGTGATTATCACTATAGACTTTTAACATGTCGAGTTCCATTTTCGGAGATGATTTTTCTGCCTTAACCTGTGGAGTTCCACTCATTTGCCAAAAACGTGTTCCGTAGTTTCCCAATGTACCTGGGAGTTTCTGCCGAAAAGCTGTCTGATAAAGAGAAAGAAGATAGCGTTCCAATTGCACGATTTCAAACTCAAGTGTGGCAATTTCTTTAACCAGTTCTTCTGAGGACTGCTGTGGACATCCAAGTAACTAAATTAATTCAGCTAAAGTGAGATGAATTAAAAATAATAATAATAATCACAGTCAAACTGATGCAATCTGCAACATTATTCTTGTTATCACGTTCACATATCAGTTGATGATATCCACTAGATATCGATCTCACTGATACTGTTTTTCATTTTCTAACAGTTATTTAATCTAACATCATTCATTGTAAAGGATAACCATTTTTTCAACTCATAAAAAAAAAATAACCAAATGATTATTACTAATTCCAAACGTAGAAGTGGATTACAGTACTTGAAAAATACACAATTCATGAACTGCAGTAATCGCCAAACACTGTGTATTTCTACTAGAACACATCCTAAAATACCAAATTCGTACATGAAATTTAAGAGCTGAGTAAAAGAGATATCCAAGACCATAACCTTAGATGTCGACATGCTATCCGAAAGACGAGCAGCGGCTGATTCAAAGCACTGTTCCTTCTGTGAGTCCCAGCAAATGGATGACTTATCATGGAATATCTTCCCCATATGTAATCTCTGTGTCAAATACACATAATATTGAATTATAATTGAGAAACAATCATATTAACAAACAGAAATCAATTTGCTGATTGTAAGTTAACAAATTCTCTCAACAGCTAAATTTCGGACGTTTTCTTAAGAGAAGGTATAAACTATTGGGTAAAAGAACAAAATTTATGGAACACCCACCAGATTTTCAAAAAGTGGTAGCGATCAAGACTCTGGATTTTCAGTTTTTAGCCCGAAGAACAATTTAATTATTTGGTATTTGCACTATAAAAAAAATGTGTTTTTAAATGAAAATTATCTAAAGTGCCAAACCTTAAATGCTGTTTAATCTATATAAAGAATATTTACAAACTACAAAATTTTAGCAAATATATTTCTTTTTCCACTTTCCGTTTTCCTTTTTCCAAAACAAGCAACATGCAAGAGAACATGGGAAATTCCTGATTTCCTGGCAAAGAAAATTAAGAACTAAATGACAAATTGTCTTTCTACAAAAGAAAAGAAATTAAATAAATTAAGTAAAAATCAAAACAAATTAAAGAGTGAGCTAATAGGGACAAAATTCTCACTGGATTTATATGGTTGGAAGGTCTCGGCGATACATCATCCTTCAGTAGCTGACTATTATAAGCCCTGAAAAATTGTAAAAATTTCGTAGTTCATTCGTCACTGGATCACAGATTAGTTCTAAAACCAGCTGATGAACACAAACTGTAGATTGATGAAATTAACAAAAATGAAGATAAAACTGTGTCAAATTCTGATCTCACCTCTGTAAACTGTGTTCAGGAGGTAGAGGGTGAAGAGGGGGTGGAGTGGAAGGCCACTCCATTGGCACTGGAGTTTTTAAAAACAACAAAAATCACGCACTAACACCACCGACGGTGTATTTCTACACAAGTATTCGAGAAATCTCATTGCTCTATGATCCCATTTCGAAGGGATTTATAATACTAAGATCAAAAAATCCTCCAACAAAACTCAAGGTAGAGGCAGTTTATCTGAAATCTGTAGCAACAAAATCTATAATGGGGCAAAAGCAATTAAATGCAGATAAACCACTACAAGAAATGGAGTGGGTGACCAGATAAACAATAAATGATACACAGATTCATTCAGTAAAGCTCTACCCATAAACCTAAATAATTTAAGGGGCTCATTAAAAATCAGTGGCATCTATTGAAAATCGAAATGGGTCAGCACTCAACAGCATTGAACTGTAAAAATAATTTGGGTCAGCACTCAACAGCATTGAACTGTAAAAATAATTTGGGTCAGCACTCAACAGCATTGAACTGTAAAAATAATTTGGGTCAGCACTCAACAGCATTGAACTGTAAAAATAATTTGGGTCAGCACTCAACAGCATTGAACTGTAAAAATAATTTGGGTCAGCACTCAACAGCATTGAACTGTAAAAATAATTTGTAGTATAATTATTAAACGTGTGGTGGGGAATGTGAATTCAATTGTTTATTATTTGATTTTTTGTCTAGAAAGAATTGAATAGAATGCATACACTGTGGAAGAAGCAGGTGAACTGACGACAAAAAAACCCAGAAAGAAAAGGAAACAAAAAAGATTGATTAGGTGAGGAGGTGGAAAGGGAAAGATTAAAAGAAGTAAAAGCAAATATCAGAAAACATGATTATGACCTGCGGCTGAGGGGTCATCCCTGTCTCCCCTTCCACCCAACCCCACTTATGCATATTATATATACGTATATATACGCACCGGAACGGACGAGAAGGAACTGGTATTTTTCATCACGCTTACTCCTCCAAACCAAAGAATGCATATTATTGTTTTACCGTTCATCAAACTCAAGTAAATGATTAATATATTATATATCTTGTACAAGAAATCAAGAATTTTTTATAACTCAAGTGTCTAAGTTTCGTCTGATTAATTCTGAAAAGTGACGGTCTTCCCCCTTAGTTCGCCACCCAAGTAATACACGCTTGGATCGGACATTGAGGATGCAATTCTTCTCCCTGTAGACCTTTTTTTATGACGTGCAAACAGGATCCATGAAAGGGCGACAAAGCGTATTATAACTTTGCCTCCATAGAACAATTGTCTTCCAACATAAATGTTGCCTTCCAGGTGCCACGGGATTCGAACCTCTGATACTCCTTGTGAAATCTTCTTACTTTATCATTGTGTCATGCTCGTGGGCGCAAAAAATCAAGATATTTGATCGGATCTATGGTCAAACATTGTTCATGTTTCCAGTTTGTTACGGCAATTCGGGACGAGAAAAGATGACTTTGGTCAAACATGTTCATGTTTCCAGTTTGTTACGGCAATCTAGGACGAGAAAAAATGACTTGTTAGTTGGCCATGTTTTCTAGTTTTCTAGTTTAGGGTCTCGTTGATATTAATGTTACAACAAAAACGCTTGTGATTGCTTATTAAACCAAAATGAATTTAAAAAATAAAAATTTGACTAGTATTTTTTGGAAAATTTATTGTTAAAAAATAGAAATTTTTTTTTTTTGTATGATTGAAAGTGAGTCTAACGAAAAATATTTTTGTTTTAGAGTAATACTATTTAGTACCACTGATGTTAAACTTCAGTTTAGATGACATGTAAGTGTTATCAATTATTAGATCGCCTTTAGAATTGAAAAATAAATTACATTTATGACACTCAATTACTTACGTGATATCTAGACGGGTGCTCTAATACCAATCATATTAGATAGTATTATTCTTTGTTCTAATGGCTATTAAAGAGTGGATAAACAATAAATTTTGGCTCTCTTTCCTCAAGTGAGAGATCAAATCAAAAAAGTGATTGCACAAAAGTATGCATTGAGTTGGTCATTGTTGACTAAAAATAATTTCTCAATTGTAAAGTCGCTAGTTTTCATATAGTCTTTAGTGAACGTATAGGACACATTGACACTAATTGTCAAGATATTTATGATATGATTAAGATGTAGGCTCCCGACATTTCTACTTTATATCAAGTTGCTATTATTTATTTATTTTTAATTTTTTGCAATTTCGCTTCCAATCTTTGCAAATTATTACTAATATACGATCAATCTGTTTTTCGCATCAAACTTTCAATCTTTTACTTACTTGCAAGTTCCTTTTTTATTTTAAGTTCACCTAAAATAACGAATTTACCTTCATATTTAAATTTTAAAAAAAAAAGAGAGAGCAACTAAATGAAAAATAAAGGAAAAATTGTAGTGAGAGTTGTAAACCTTTTCAAAATGAACAAATAGATCGCAAAACAATTAAAAACAATTGACAAAAAGAAAAAAAAAATTAGAAAAAAGGGCCGAGCCGAGAAAAAGGGGCCGACCCACGAGCTCGCGGCTCGTGGGTAGCTCGTGGGCCGAGCCGAGCCCGGCTTGCGAGTAGACGTCGTTTTTCATTTTTTTTTTGGAGAACAAATAGGTAATTTGAAAAATAAAAAAGTAATTTTTTTAACTAAAAGAGATAGAAAAAATAAATATGAAAACTTTATTTTTTTTATTTTTCTTTTTAAAATAGATAAAATATAAACCCTCTTCCTTTATTCGGATTTGGGACCGGCTACTTAAATTTTCAGTAGGCGGAGTTAAAAATTGTACACGAACAATTTTTTGTAGCGTGTACAATTTTTTAAAGAAAATTAAAAGTAACGATAAGAAAAGAAAAATTTCGTCTATATAATTAAATCAAATATCACTTACTTGACCACATGCAATTTCGGCATATTTATCTTATAGTCGAAAAAGAGCGTCCTGCCAATCATTAACGCACATTAACGCTTCTAAAATATCTTCTTTCAGTCGGCTCCTGACCTCGCTCAAAACTCTTTTACTTGCACTAAAAACAGATTCCGAAGCAACAGTGCTAATCGGAGGTGTCAGTAGATCTTTTGCAATTGCAGATATAACTGGCCAACGTCGTTCATACCTTCGCCAAAATTCAATTATTTTGTCTGACCTTTTTTAATTGTTTTATCTGTTGGCATATTCTGGTTGAAATAATTAATTAATTCAGCAGGCAGTGTATTATGACTTGAGCCCGTAGATGTATGATGAGAATGAGAAACAGATAGTGATGACATGACATTGGCAGTGGTAGTAGATGAACACATTGCAGATGAATCAAATCTATACGAATTAATGCCTTGAAATAAATTAAATATTTCCGCATCTTCTTTTTCAAGTTCAGTGGAAGGAGTAGGTGCAGGTGGTACCCTACTAATATTGGTACCCATTCGGTTCGCATATAATTCATACATTTCACATAATGTTTGTTCTAAATTTCTATATGTGGTAGGTGTATCAAATGTTAAGGTGTTTGGAATTTGATCAGTTATATATTTAGTTCCCGATAAATTATATCGGGGGTCCATCACGCATGTTAAAGGAGATAACATAGGCGAATATTCCCAATATTTTTAAATTTTAATTCCATAGCAATTATAATTTCACTAAAATCAGGGTCATTTCTGTATTTATGAAATGTTCTTGCAATTATATAAAAACGTTCAAGCACCATACAGCTGGTGGGGATAGTAAACGCCCGATAAAATCTTAGTGGTTTCATAAAAAGATGTCAAAATTTTTTTAACTTTCAAAGCTAAATACCAATCACGTTCAGTCAACATACCCTCGTCATCACTTCTAACATGTCTATTGTTATAAAAGTCAGTTATTAAATGTTCAAAATCGTCACATGACTTTAATAACAAGTAGAGTTCCACCTATGACCTACGTCGCTTAACAAATGTTTTACCATTTTGTACTCCTATTTCGGCACAATAATCCTCAAATGCTTGTTTCTACTTGGAGAGATTGTGATATATATTAGTGCGTTCCTAATATTTTGAAGTTCATCCTTTATATATTTTAAACCATCTTGGACAATTAAATTCAAAATATGACTTACACAATGAATATGAAACAAATACCCATTAAAATCAGGTTGTAGTACCCTATGCAATTTTTCAGCAACTACTTTATTAACACTAGCATTGTCGAAAGTAAATGGACGAATTTTACCTTCGCAATGATATTCTCTAACAATACTAATAATAAAATTAAATATATTATTAGCGTTGTGAGGAAACTTAATAATTCTAAAACCGATAATTTTTTATGCATACATCAAAGTGGGTCTATATAATGTGCAGTTGCAGCTATATATACTATTTTATTAATCCCTTTCCATATATCTGAAGTTAAAGATATGACACCCCCATATTTTTTCAAATCCATAATTAATTGTTATTTTGTTAAAGTAAAATTTTGTATTGTATCAGAACGAAGAGTGTTTCGACTTACCTCAACGTACCTTAGCTGCAGATATTCTTTTACATACGAGACGTAGTGTTGGTTGTCAATTAATGCCAAAGGCAACTCAGCACGAGCAACAAGTTTCACCATTCCGGTTCGAGTTTTCTCCTCCGAATACACCCATGTGGATAGGGGTGCAGTAAAACCACCGGTATTTGGACTGCCCACTTGCAATTGTATTTGACAGCCTGAAATAAGTCCATATTTGGCTGCACATACTTTGTAATGACGGTTGAGATGGGTGGTACCAATTCCTCTTTGTCATACCAATCTTTGTTGTCAGTATTTACATACTGCTTTAGATTCTTGGACTCCATTAACGATTTTTCCCGTTGAAATCAACTTAAAGTGATTCCAACATTTTGCTTGTTTTTTCCCCTTTCGCTTTCCCCTCGCATCAGGAATGTTTAATTCAGTCTCTTCTTCCTAGTCGTGTTCCTTTTCGAGAACGTCAACATCATCCAAATTAATTGGATAATTTGGAGTGTCGCTTACATGATGATGAAGATCCAAATCTGGAATATTTTCAGGTAGGGGTACGTTATTTAGACTTTCAAATTGATTCTGAAATTGACTTTGCGGCGTCATAGGCGATTTGTTTCCTCTCACACCGAACAAGTTTTCGACAAATGAGCGTGGATCCATTTGTTTAGTTGTAATAAGTAATAACTAGTAGAAGAATAATTGTATAAATGTAGTGAGAAATGAAAATTGAATGAAATTTCAATAAATATAGTGAGAACTGAAAAATGAGAATTGGATATTGTATAAATTGTATATAAAAATTGCAAGTTATCAACACAATACAAGAAAATTGAGAGAAAGATAATTGAGAGTTGAGAGAATTGTAAAAAAATTTGTGGCTAAATGCCACTATTTATAGAAGAAAAGAAAAGAAATATATATATATATATATACGGTCACTGAAAAAATTCAGTGACCGTTAACGGTCAAAAAACAGAAAAATAAATAAATAAATAAATAAATGAGGGACTGAAACGGTCACTAACTTTTCATAAAGTGACCGAAATGGTCACATTTTCATACGAGCCCACGAGCTTGGGCTCGTGGCCTCTCATTTTCTGTGCGAGCCGGGCTCGGCTCGCCCACCGAACCGGCCCGCTAAGCTCGCGCTTGGTCTCGTGTTTTTACGAGCCCGAGCCGCCCACGAGCTCCGTTTTCACGAGCCAAGCGGGCGAGCCAACGAGTCGCTCGGCCCATTTGCCCCCCTACATCCACCTACAATCCTCCTCAAATTCACGCCATTTGCACCAAAAAGAACTCATTCCCACCAATTAGTACTGATTCTTCACGGAAGCTAACTGGATATCAGAATCCGTACCGTGGTCCACCAACCG